TGGGGGTGCCGGGCGTCCTGGCCCGGAGCTGCTGCTCGGTTCCCTCACCTGCAGCGCTGTGTCCGGGCTCGGCCTGGGCATCTCCCTTTGTTCCTTCCAGGAGTTTGTCCCTAGGCCCCGGGGAGAAGGGGAGTTCCCGAGGGTGCGGCCGAAGGTGCTGGGTAGCGTGCTGTGGCTGCCGATTAGTCATAACAGCGGAGAAGAGCGGAGCTGGCCGGCTGCGTTCAGAGCACATAGTTAGCCTCAGATGATGTTTGAACCGTAGCGTTTTCTTTTTCCTTCAGAAATTTGACCATGTGAGTCAGCGAGTCATAAATAGATCGTATTTCTCCGCGTTCTGCTTTGGAAGAGAGGCTAGGAAAGCGAGCTGCTGCAGAAATGAGGCTTATTCCTGTTAGCTCCCTGCCAGCAACCAGAGGTCTTGCCCGAGATCTCTTGTTACTAGGCTGCTGTGCTCCCTTCTGTAATTCACTTTGTAGAATGTAGGGTTGAGGTGTGGAAAAACGTTGGCGGTTTTGTGCATAATTTGGGAAGAAACGTGGTGGATTCTGGATTTTCTTAGGGTGTGCGTGTGAAATCCTTCTTTCCTGCAGCATTGTTTGAGAGAGCTTGAGGAGGAAGTGAAGGACTTCAGGAGCTTGCTTTTGTTCTTTTAAATGCCCAAGCAGACCTGGATGCCCAAAGCAAAATAAAATAATCAAGTGAACACATGGACTGAGTACTTGGGGAAAAAAAAATTGTGTTTTTCATGGAATAAATAGAGCAACCACACACATATGTTCCTCTACTTCAGCTTTTGTCACCTGAATTCCATTTCTATGCCACTTGCACTGCACACAGCACGGTGGGGCACGGAGGGAGGGGTGCAGACTTAAGGGTGACTGTAGGTTTGTGTGTGCTTACAGAGTTAGTTAGAACCTGGACCATCAACTGTTGAAGTTTCATTATTGAGGTGCTTCAGTTCTGCTTTCCAATGGTTTCTATTATAAATGTGTAGTCTGATAAATTTTCTAGGTATCAAGTAATTTAATAAATGCTAGTTCCTTTGTTGCTGTAGGAATTTGGAGATGGGAGATGTGAAGAAGCAGAAGGGGAGATGAACTACTGCTTTGTCAGCATGTCATCTGCTCCGCTCTTACACCCTCCTTCCAGGCCACTCTCACATTTGCTGCCTTAGTGTTTGACAATCAGTTTTTCAGTTGCTCTCCTTCTTGTTACCAGTCCTGAAATTCCTGAAGTGCTCTGTAAAACTGGCTCATCAGCTTAGTCTGTTAGGCTGTAGTTTTTTTTTTTACTCTGTGCACTTTGCCTGTGGAGCACTAGTTACTCATTTAAAAGGGAGTTTTCATTCCACCTACTGGGTTGTGCTTGTGTGAGTGAAATAGTCCGCGATAATCGTCCTCATGATCTATCTGTAATTAGATAAAGGAGAGTGGATGATGGTGAGTTAAAGAACTGAACTCTAGTGGAGTAGAGATGAAGAAAATAAATCCTTCCTCTGACTTGTTTACCTGAAAAAGCTGGAAGAAAGGGAAGGTTTTTTTGGTTTGCTGTTTAGAATTTGCTTGTTTTGATTTACATAGAATAAAGAGTATAAAATGCAGCCACTAGCACCGGGCAGGTCAGGCATTCTGCTCACTAGCCCCGTTCCAAAGTGCTAATTAAAAGTGTCCAACTTGACACTCCACGGGGGATCAGGTTTCCAGAAAGTGAGATGCCCGTGCCCAAAATCATTAAACACTTGGAAGTGTCAAATGTTGTTTCTAGATGTCCTTGCTTGCTTGTTTTATGAGTCTTGCCTCCTGCTGTTGGTGCTCCAGCACTCGGCCTCTGCTCCTCCTGAAAGTCAGAGGAGACACCTCAGGCTGTGTGCAGGTGTCACGAGGGGTTACGTGAGAAAGGCAGTGACTCCTGCACTCTGTTCTTGCAGGCAGGTGGACTCGTGTGTGGGTTGCATGCAAAGTTGTTGGGATTGATTTCACAATGCTGAAACTTATTACACAACAGAGGAAACATGTAGGTTATGCTGCCTAATAAACAATATTCTGCTCATCATCAGTAATGGCTGGGAAAAAAAACAACTATTCCTATGCCTTGAGTGTAAACGTGAGATCTAGAAGTAGTGACAGTCTTTGGAAGTGGATGTTGGTTTGAGACCTGTTTGAGGAGATGTCTTCTAGTGCAGTGAAAGAAGAAAAGACACATTAATTTGGGTGAAGAGAGACTTCCTTGTTCTCTTTGAAATCATGTCAGCGGCTGCTCCTGACTTTTTTTGCAGTGCTAATAGGAAAGCTAAAAAGGGTTTTCAGACCAGCTGGAGGAGCCAGCCTGGGAGCCAGCAGTCGAATCTGCTGTCCCTGCAGATCAAGCTCCTGTTGATGTGGTTAAAGCACATACTTCACTGGGGATTGGGGATTGTGGCTCCGTGGGTTCATACAGAATGTAAAAGGGGTTGACAGTGCTGCTTCTGCTGGCCTTGCAGATGTGGAAGGCTACTGCAGGCCACACCATCTCCCTCAGTCAGGACGACGGGGCCGACGACTGGGAAACGGATCCTGATTTTGTGGTAGGACTTTTGAACTTTCCTGATTCTTTAGAACTGTGTCGTGTAACACCCAGAACCGTGTCGTGTGACTCTTCAGGGTGGGGGCTGCGTCCTAGCACCATGAAGGGATTGCAGAATATTCCTGGAAGAAGGGAAAATTAGTGGTTTGTGCCTGTGAGTGGCTAACGAAGCTGCCCTGTCTTGCCTGGGTGCTGCAGGGAAGCCTGTGTGGAAGAGATTTGCCTCAAGAAGCAGCAGCCCCTTAGGGCTGAACATGTGCTCTGTGCGTTTCAACAGGGGCAAAGCACAGGGCTCACAGCAGAAGAGGAGTGAAGGTGGTAGCCTGGAGAAGGGGAGACTGAGAGGGGACCTTAACAATATCTAAAGGTTGGGTGCCCAGAGTATGGGGCTACACTTTTCAGTGGTGCCCAGTGACAGGACAAGGGGCAGTGGGCCCAAACTGGAACCCAGGAGGTGCTGTTGGAACATGAGGAAAAATTTCTTTCCTGTGAGGGTGCCTGAGCCTGGAGCAGGCTGCCCAGAGAGGTTGTGGAGTCTCCTCTGGACACAACCATGGGCAGCCTGCTCTGGGTGACCATGCAGGAGCAGGGGGCATTGGATGGACAAGGTGATCTCCAGAGGTCCCTTCCAACCCCACCATGCTGGGATTCTCTGCTGGGAGCTGCTTTTCTGCCTCTTCTGATCTTGCTGGCTGCGGAAGGCTTTTGCTGTGAACTCGAAAGTGCAGATCACTAATGACTCTGAATGTTTAACTCTCTGTATTTGTGTCCTTTGCAGAATGATGTGAGTGAGAAAGAGCAGCGCTGGGGGGCTAAAACTGTGAAAGGATCCGGCCATCAAGAGCACATCAAGTAAAGCAACTCTCTTAAAATTTATTAATAGTCACAATCCCAGGCGCCTTTAATCAACTCATCTTCTAGGTTACTTGTATCTTCATAATTAAAACAAGAACCTCTGTAGAAGATTGATTATTTGCCAGGTTGCTGATCTTTCAAGTATGTCACTATCTTCAGATCTGAAATTAAGATCAGAACTATGGTGTAGAGACTCTTAAGTCTTTTAATCTAGAAATGTTTTATTTTTCTTGCCTCTTTGTGTCTGGAAAGTTTGTTTCTTTGTTCTGTTTTGGTGCCAGAGCCAGTACTGCCAGGGGAGAAGTTCATGCTGGGTGATCTAAGCAGCTTCAGTTTGGTACTTCAGTGATACATTTGGTCCCTTAATTTGTAGGCTTTGTTTAGAAAGCTGCTACCAGACTCATAAAACTTCTGGCAAATAACTAATTGAGCCCTCTGGCATTAAAGCAAAGGAATGTATCTCAGAGGGCTACATGACACAGAAATGATCCATCTCCTGAATCTTGTGTTACAAAAAGTGTCTAAGACCTTAAAGCAGCGTTAGGAAATCTGTGATTGAGGTGTTGATTTGGGTTTGCTGGTGTATTTTGGGGGCATCAACCCTCGTGGTGTAAAGCTAAGAATAAATGACATCAGTGCTGCAGATGGGTAGAGACAACTGTGTGGCTCAGGAGGGATCAGTTTTCCCCTGCCCCATTGAGAGCAGAATTACACCTGAGGGAGCTCTGAACTCAGGTGGTGAGTGTTTTAAGGTTCTGGTTAGCACCTTGGTTGGTCCTTCTGGTACATACCTGCACTACTGTAAGGCAGATTCCTGCATGTTGGAAGGGAACACGTGTGGAGGGGGAGGTGCATGTCTCCTTGCAGCCTTATTTTGCCTTACAGTTGTGTCCAGAATGCTCAGTCAGAATTAGAGGCCTGTTACCATAGGGACTGTACGATAAGAGATCATCCCTATTCTGAAAAGTTGCCATCTAAATAAAAAGTGTTGGAAAGAACTTGAATTAAGACGTGAGAAGAACATAAATTTAAGGCACATATAAATTCTAAGTAATTGATCAAATAGCAAGATACTCCTCCATGTTAGTCATAAAACTAACAGGTACTGTGGTTTTTTTTTTTAATGTTTTGCAGTGGAATAAGCTCTGTTTCTCAGGATATCATGATCTGCTTTATGCACTGAAAAAATGTGAAAGGCTTTGAAAAATACAAATTGTCCAATTTTTAATTAAGATTATATTTTTATATCTTATTTTATCCTTTTTCTTTTGCATCTTTTTGAAGTTATCTTCTGAAACTTTCTTGGTCAAACTTGCTGCTTAATTATCTGTCTTTAAAGTATTCATCAGCTGAGAGAGAACGTATTCCAAGAACACCAGAACCTGAAAGAGAAGGAGCTGGAAACAGGACCAAAAGCTTCCCATGGCTATGGAGGGAAGTTCGGTGTTGAACAGGACCGCATGGATAAAGTAAGTGTGGGCACTTCCCTGGGATGATGTCAGGAGCCTTGCCTTGCCTTGCCTGTGGCCAGCACAGCTGTGTCTGTGAGTTAAGCTTGTTGAAGGTGCAAAGTTGCTCCAACTTTGCATGGTTCAGAGGTGGAGAAGCTCAGATCATGGCATAAGCTGTATGCAGTGGTGGCTCATTTTGAGGGCAAAAGCATCACTCTTACAGTGCTCTGACAAGGACACTGGTAACCACTACTACCCAAATCTGTCAGACCACCCTGCTCTGGTCCCTAATTAAGTGAAGATGTTTCTAAAGAGAAAAAAAAAAAAAAACTGACCTAAAGCACTTGAAGCACAAGGAACAAGTATTTCTGCTGGCAAATTAGGAATCTGAATGATGAGGAGAATTCCTGGGACGTGCAGTGGCCCCGTACAGTTTTGTTTGATGCTTTGCTCTGTCTTCAGAGCAAGTCTGCATGCTTGTGTCCTGCGTGGATTCCCCTGGAGCCAAATTCCAGTTTCCAAATGTATAGCTCTAGATTAACACAGTACTTCATGCATGAATAATTCCAGCATTTTTTTTTTATTTCAATGCTGTACCAGCTCTTCTATGCATACAGAGGTTGCCAAAGGATGAAGACAAGGGTGTGCTGCTGCTTTTAAATCAGAGGGCAGCTCTCTTGAACAGTGACAAGCAGTCCAAGGATTTTAAAACTCATTGTACTTCTGTCAGATGGTAACGTTTTACATAAGGACTCGATGGCTTTTTAAATTGCACTCTATTAACAAAAGAAGTGGGAATTTCTAAGGTAGTTCCATTAGCCATGTTCCATTAGACAGTCATATCAACTTCTGGCTAGTTTCTTCCATGCACTCTATAAAAATAAGAACCAAACTGTTTCCTAAATAAGAATGATTTTGTTTTCTTACTTTATTTACTTTCCAGGTTTCTGGTAATTTGGCAGCCTTAAGTTTTTGCTGGATTCCCATATTCCAGAGTAAACTGATGTATAATTCTTGATTTTAAATAGGCTGATCTAACCTTTGAATTTGGGAAAGGAATAGCTGAGCAGATTGAACCATTAGGCCTGTTCTGCAGCTGCAATAGCTCTCTAGTGTCAGCAGTTTATCCCTCACCTCTGTCCAGGGGGAAAAAAGAAAGAAACAAAAGGGAGCACTGTTTCCAGTAGGCCAGAATTAATCACCAGGAAAAACGTGATGGTCATGCCTCTCTGAGTGACACTGCTGGCAGGAGGTGCTCCTAGCTTATGTTTTTTTCAGAGAGCTTTCATCCTTGTAACTATAGTTCTGAAGCCTAATGGTTGAGTTCCCTCCATCAGAGGTACCTGGGGCTTTATGCAGGTGTACTGGTGTTAAGGCTCGACTCACCTGAAGTGAGTGTTACTGCAGCCTTCTCATGGGACAGGTTTCTGCTCCATTTAGGACAATACCTTGATGCTGACTTTAAAAGTGACATCATTCTATATGCCAGACCTCCATAACTGCTTTAAAATGCAGCAGAGCATTGTGCTGAGGAATTCTGAGGGCAATTTACTGTGAAATACAGATTTCCAAGCAAAAATCCTGTTCTGAGTCTTTTCTGTAGAAGGGGTACGTTGTAATGCTTGGTGTTTGAAAGGCAGAAAGTTTGGTACCAGATAAAGAGAACAATATGCTCAAACCATACCCACCTCAACTGACAGAACAAAAGAAGGATCATGTAAAAAGCACAAAAACCCAAGGATTTTCAGAGCTTCATGTCCTCCATAAATGTAATTGGTAATGGGAGGAAGAAAGGGAGGTGGGAGCCTTTTCTGTCACATCTAAGTTACTCTGCTGCAGAACACCTGCAAAATGAACAAGAGTGACTTTCAGTCAGGAAAAGAAAGGAGCTTTTATGCTGCTTATAAGTTAAGCTAATGTGCTATTATTGACATCCTTGTTCTGTTACCTGGCAATGACTTCTCCCATTATGTGTGGTAATGTTTTTCTTTCCTATGTGCAAGGAATGTTCTGCCCAGCACCTGTGTAAAGAAAACCAGCCAAAATCCCCCATCCAACCCTCCCAAAAAAAAAAGAAATGCTGTAAAAGCCAACCTACTTACAGTTTCTAGACACCTTGTGTCCTCAAATTAATTCACCTTGGTCCAGCTGTCTGATACTGCTGCGAGATAAGCAGTTTCTCATTCCTCAAAGGTCAGAGCTTGGGGCAGCAGCCTGGAGGGGGCTGTGCTGCAGCTGTAGGTGCCCAGTGGGCCGTGCACGGGCACGGTGCTGAGCCTGGTGGTGCTGAGCCAGGAGAGGTGCTTGCCACAGGGTGCAGCCTCTCCACTTGGACACGGACTTCTCTTTGTGCCCGCGACAGGCACCATGTGTGTCTGGGCTGCAGGCTCAGACACTGAAGTGGCAAATCACGAGCTCTGTGCTCAGTTTGGGCTCTGGAGCAGAGCCCATTTTTGCTATGTTAGGTAGCACCCTCAGGGAGCTAGGCTCTAGCATCTGTTCTGGGATCTGGAAGGGTGATCAGAATGCCAGTGGAAAACCTAGCTGTAGCTGTATGTGGTTGCTGTCCAGTATCAGCTAAATATATCTGTAGCTGTGTGCCTAAATACAAGGCTCTGTATTTTATCTGGAGCTAATCCCTCTTAAACCTTGCATGAAGACCATCAAGACTCCATCTGTATCTGTCTTGTTTTCCCTCTTGTGTTTTTGTACTAAAAACCCAGAGCATAAAGCAGCCTTCATAAAATACCCTCCTTGCTGTCAGACTCCTTCCTGTCCCCTCCCTTCCCTGGGCTGTACTGGTAGCATGGTGACAGGCTTGCAAAGGCTTCTGGAGTGAGGAGCAGTTCCCTGGGAGGTTACTCTCAAGAGGAAGAGTGACACCACCGTGTTTGTAGCAAAGTCTATCCTCAAGTTACTTGGCACAGTGTTTTCTCTTGCATACAGAACTGTGTAGAACTTCCTGGCTCTTTCTCAACTTCCCAATTTCTTTTAGTCAGCTGTTGGACACGAATATCAATCCAAACTTTCTAAGCATTGCTCCCAAGTGGATTCGGTGAAAGGGTTTGGTGGCAAGTTTGGAGTTCAAACCGATAGAGTGGACCAGGTAAGCGACTTCTCCTCGTGCTGCCCCTACTCACACTGGCTGGAAAAGTCCAGTTCCCTAAAATGCTGCTCTAAGTTCAGCAGTCAGCTAACACCGACTGTTATGGAGATGAAGTTCTCTTTAAAATGAAGTAGAAAAAAGCCCTTATGGGAAATTGAGATGAGTTGAAGAGATAACTGGAAAGAGATGTTAAAATATGTCTTTTAGCCAGGCTGTGTTCTTTGATGAGGATAAAATCAGCACAGATGCTACAGGAGGAGGGATTTGGGGATGGTTTGTCCTGTAGCACAGCATGAGCTACTGGGCAGGATAATTGGCCTGTTCCAAGACTGTGTAACAACCTCTGTATGGAAATGCTGAATTCTCACTGTACCAAATTGCTGAACCTGGCAAGGCTGGAGTATGTTGCTAGTAAAATTTGCTTTTGTGAGGGATGACAAAAACCCTTGCCCTGAATACACGCACTAAATTATCCTGTAAATGAGTATGGCTTGTAAGTTAAACATGTATTTATGCTCCTGATCAGAGGGGCAGAGCAGTATGGAGAGGCACAGGAACGCTGCGTGCTGTTTGTCTGCTGAAGTGCATGCAGTTTTGCTACTAACACCTAACCCTTTGTCACCCATGCAATTTTATTTCTCTTCCAGTCAGCTGTTGGCTTTGAGTATCAGGGGAAAACTGAGAAGCATGCCTCCCAAAAAGGTAAAGTGGTGAGGTGGTCGCTTCTGTGGACACATGGTTTTTATAAATAATAGAATAGGTTGCTCTTCTTTCACTGTTTGTAAATGACCTTGCTTAGTGAGGCCTCCACATCATGTTTTAAATGAGTCAAATGTTGAGGGGGTTGGGTTGAAGAGGAGATGAAACAATTAATTTCAAAGCAATTTCGTGAGTTGATGAGGTTTTAAGATAAGGAAAAGACGTGTCATCATGAATCTTACTTGTCTTTTAGAAGTGAAGTTCAAGGACATTTTAGAAAGACTGGGAATTCTTTGCTGTAGTGCACCCTGTTGGAAAGAGGGAGTAGATTTAAGAGGAACCATCATAAACTGCAGGCCTGTTGCCTATCCTGCTTTCTGTGTTTAAAATTAAACATATTCCTCTTTGCCAAAGAGTAATATTTCAGTTCTGAAATATCTTTTTTCCCCCCTTCACTTGCTGCAATGTGATGTTTCCATTAAAAGCTTCTTCATTTGATTTTTATTGTGCTTTACTCCCCATGCAGACTACTCGAGCGGTTTCGGTGGCAAGTATGGAGTACAGGCTGACAGAGTGGACAAGAGTGCAGTGGGCTTTGACTACCAGGGTAAAACTGAGAAACATGAGTCACAGAAGGGTGAGTGGTTGAACCCCTGTGTTGCTGGGGTCATACTCTGGTGTAGTAGGCAGTCATGATAGGCAGTGTTGGAAAATACTGATTTATTTTTCATCTGTTGCACTCCTAACCTGCTGAAAGTTAACACTGAATAAAATTTATGTTGCTGAAAACTTTCACTTCTGAAAAAGAAACCTAAAACATAAGTTCTGGCTGGATTTAAGTGGTGATCCAACTGCCATTGCTTTGGAAGCAGGGCACATAGTCTTGTCTGGAGGTTTTTTGCAACTCCTTTTGAAAAGCTGTAGCTGTAACCAGTTTAACAACAGCAGAGAATTGTTTCTAAAATGGAAAATACTGATTTATTTTTCATCTGTTGCACTCCTAACCTGCTGAAAGTTAACACTGAATAAAATTTATGTTGCTGAAAACTTTCACTTCTGAAAAAGAAACCTAAAACATAAGTTCTGGCTGGATTTAAGTGGTGATCCAACTGCCATTGCTTTGGAAGCAGGGCACATAGTCTTGTCTGGAGGTTTTTTGCAACTCCTTTTGAAAAGCTGTAACCAGTTTAACAACAACAGAGAATTATTTCTAAAAGATTCAGCTGTTAGTAGATTAAAACGTTTATCAGAGCTAATAGTGTTTAGAGTTAATATTGTGTTGCTAATCAGGTTTCCAGGCATATCTGATCAAAAAATCCACCATTTTATTGAAAAACTGTCATTTTTGCCATCTGTTTTCTGTTTATCTCAAAAAAATGTTTGCACTCAAGAAGTGCTAAAGAGAAGCAGGGGGTGGTGGTTTTAAAGCATCCTGTCTGTTGCTGACACAGTTTCTGAAGTTCACTTTGCTATAAGTGTCTTAACAGTTTTATCAAGGAGTCAAGTAGCAGAGTTTCTGGTATCACCCAGCAGTTGAGCTACATATGATGCTATTTTATTTTCCCTCCTGAAAGCAAGGATTCTGAAGAATTTATGGCTTCAGTGTCTAGAGTCAAGATTAACTGGCGATGTCAGGGCTTCTTTTAATATGTAGTGTAATGGCAGCAGGTCTGATTATCAGAATTTTTCAAGGCAATATTTTGTTACTGAGCACTTAACAAAATTCTTCACTCTTACCTCTAGATTATTCCAAGGGCTTTGGTGGTAAATACGGTGTTGACAAGGACAAAGTGGACAAAAGTGCTGTTGGCTTTGAGTATCAAGGCAAAACGGAAAAACATGAATCACAGAAAGGTTTTTATTCTCTTATTTAAAAATACTAGTTCAAATCAACCAGCCTTTTAAACCTGGGAAAAACCACTTTGCTTGGGGGGGTATTTTGTGGGAAATGTGCGTTTCCCCTTGGTGTAGGTGTTTTTTTTTTTTTGCCTTTAAATAAAAAGGAAGGCATTGCAAACTGTCTCTGAGTTTCACAATCTGATTTCCAAGGGAATTTTTGTCCTTATGGGTGTTATTGAAATAAATGTGTCAATGCACAGATCTCTGGTATTCAGAGGCAGTATAAAATCCTTCATTATTTATGTATCTACATTGCACAAGTACATGTGCACGTTGTGTGCCTTTAGGTGGAAAGTGCATCAGACCCTGCAGATCTCTCAGGATTGTTGAGTCTGTGTGCTGTAACCATGGCTGGACTCATGGTGCTTCCTTGCATCACCATCCTAGATTACTGAATGGGATCCTTCCCCTCTGTTGAGGCAGTGTAGCAAGGGGGGAAGAAGAAGTGGAAGATAGTATCATTAATGACAGGGCAGCTTATCCTATAACATGTTACTGTTTTTTTTTATTAAATACCCTGTACAGTCATAAACCATAATAATGTTTTCCTGAAACTTCATGTGTACAGATTATGTAAAGGGCTTTGGAGGCAAGTTTGGAGTGCAGACAGACAGACAAGACAAATGTGCCCTTGGCTGGGATCACCAGGAGAAAGTGCAGCTGCACGAGTCCCAGAAAGGTACATCAGCTCCCAGTTCTTTGCCACTCTTTCTGACTTCCCTCATGGTGACATTTCTGTTCCCTGTGTGAACCCTCCTGCCCTGTTTGAACTGTTGTTGTGTATTGGTTGTACTGGTGTCTGCAAAGCTGGTTTAACACATCTGATACTGAGTCCCTAAAAGCTCAGACTCAGTTATAAGTTCTCACTGGAGAAGCTTCATGAGTCTGCAGTAGCTTGGATTTTTTGTGTTATGTACCTCCCTATTTTCATGCAGAGGAAATCTAGTCCCCAGTTCTGCCCTTTCTCACTAGCTGTGAGGTGTCTGTTCCTCTGAGATACTGGTACCCAGAAGAAAAGTTGCAAACAAATGATTGCTCCCCAGCCCTCTGCCTGGCACTCAACTTAGAAAAAAAAATATTATTTAAAAAAAAAAAATAAATCAAGAACTTAAAAGCGATCCTCAGAATATTGTTCTGTTGGCTGCTCCAGCAGATTTGTTGTGAGAGGGTTACCAGAAGCCCCTGTTTTTTTGTGCCCTCACTTTATACCATATATTAAAACAGCTGTAGGGAATGGTTGTAGCTCTTAGCTGAGAGCTGTTGACCCTGGAGCTGTGTGGCAACAGGAATTTTTCTTCTCCCTGTAAGCAGTGCTGTGTAGGAATATGTGGAGGATAGTCTCTGTGAACCTATTTTAACAGCTCTTTAAGAGTCAGATCTCCAGTGTACAAATATTAACTGTGCTGATGAAGGAAGCTCCTTTTATTCTCTTGTATCCTTTTGTATCCACTACATGTGTGTTTGTGCTCATCATGTTGATCTAACTCAAGTGCATTATGCAGTATGTATGAAAAATGTTGAGAAGTGCTTTTTTTTCTGTGACTTCAGAATGGTGTTCTTATGTCTGATAAATCATATTGACCTCTTCCTGATCTCTCAAGTGGAAACTTTTGAATCTACTCTCACAAAAGTATATTGAGATTTTGTTTCTTCCCCATCCAAAATTATTGGTATTTGAAAATACTGCAAAAATGATTCTGTCTTTGACTAAGCTTCTTTATTTTCCTGCCTTCATTTTAATTTATCACATGTGGCTTTTTCAGACTATAAGAGTGGTTTCGGAGGGAAATTTGGTGTACAGACAGAAAGGCAGGACCCATCTGCTGTGGGGTTTGATTACAAGGAGAAACTAGCCAAGCATGAATCTCAACAAGGCACCGTTTTCACTTGTTACTTTCTTAACAGTGCAGCCACTTCTCACACAGTCTTGAGTAGTTCTCTGAGTAGATTGATGCTAGTACTGTGCAGACACTTCCTTGTGCTTCTGTTCCTACATGATCTAGCAATGTTCTGCCATTTTATTCTTCAGCTGTTACATAAAGCAAGCCTGTAGTCAGGAAACATCCAACATTCAGTTATCACCTCTACAACATTATGCATTTAGTTGGTAGCTGTACACACAGTATGATAATAACAACATTATTATTAGTGTGATGTTACTGATGTCATGCTTACCAGTTTTAGAGTCTAAATGTGAAGCTCTGCCTGGATAAATTGGTCAAGAAATACTCAGTTAAGGACAATGCATGTAACCATTAAGAAGCAATGGGTTGTGGCAAGGTCATTTTAAAATGATTGAGGTCTTTTAAAGTGAGAAGTAGGGAATGTTTGTGAGCAAATACTGTTATAATGCTCTCTTTATTCATTGTGAAATAGTTGGGGTACAAACCATCAATTCCTGGTTTTCCGTTCTCTTTAAGTGAGAAGTCTGGATCAGGAAAATGTAAGTGTAGTATATTTATTCTGGCTGAAAATACATACCAAGCTGAAGAAAATGAGGTTGCTCATTCTGATAGTCGATATTTTTCTGTGCTGCAGTGACACAAATTCAAACTTTTAGAGCGTCAGACGTGCCTTAGCAGAGCCCAAGTACAAACACTGACATAGCTAGAGGCTAGGGGACCCAAGTGATCTGGGGGCTGAGAGGAGAAGGAGTGATTGTAATTGTATTCCAGGGATGTAGAGGAAAGCCTGTCCATCTACAGAGTGTAAGGGCACGTTCCTGCAGCTCACTGCCACCAGAAAGAGGTGTTTGTCCAGCCACTCACTCTGCTGCTGTCATGCTGGCCCTGGTGCTTGTCAGACATTCCTCTGAGCAAATTCAGAGAGAGCAGAAGGCTGCTCTTGTTAGAGTTTGTATTCCTTATTAATGCCACTGGTGAGTTAAGCTGATGCTCGAGTCTAACAAGTGGTGGAGTCAGGATCAGGTGAGAGGGAGAGTGTTCAGCTCGGGGGTGGTGTGGAACAGCACAGCCACCCCATTTCTGTGGTGGTCAGTTGTCACAGGCTCGTGCTGTCTTGTGGAATTGCCCCTTTCCTTGCACAGAGCAGGAGTTACTACCAGTGTTCATCAGTTGGATATCACGACCAAATCCCCTGGAATGAGAAATTTGTTAATTTTTTTTTGCCATTCATAAAATTTACCAAGTTAAAGAGGAATAAAAACCACCTCCGTGGTCACGGAAGACTGGATCTTGCTCCTTTGAGCAAAGCAAAATGGCCTAGGTTATATGATTCCTGCAGAGGGCCAAGAATTGGTGCTGTGAAAGGCTGTGTTACAGAAGTGATGCATTAGAAGGGCTCATCCCTTTTTCCTTGCTTGATACCTTCTTGATCCTCAGCTTAATGTTTATTCAAAGAATGCATGTGGCCCCCAGTCTGTCTTCTGCTGCTGTACCTGAAGGCTCTTGCAGTTGTGTATCCTTTCTGCATCAAAAACCAAGTTGCATTTTCTTTGGCTGCTGTCACTGTATCTCTGCATGCATCTGAAATGGCTATTTGCATTTGAAATGGCTGTTTGCATTTGGCAGAAAGATGGGAGGGACACCAGACTCCCTGCTCTAACCTTTTCTTTCCTGCTTTTAGATTACTCAAAAGGCTTTGGTGGGAAGTATGGTGTACAGAAAGATCGGATGGATAAGGTAAGTTGCTCAAAAGAGATGTGACTTAGGTAGTGTATAGAGGTACAAAACAGTCTGGTTAGATCTGTAGTGTTCAGCTCTTTATTTCTGGATACTTCTCCAGCTGAGCAGTAGAGTTCTGTGCTTTTCTGCAGCTTTCAAAAGCAAGTTTGTACACACAGAGCTGATGCCAATTGATACACACATGTACATGTGACATGGGGAGTAGATATAGATAAGCAGGGAAAACTGAAGCATAAAAATTAAAAAATGGCAGAATGTATACAAAAGATTAAGAAAACCCATTAATTCCACCATTTCAGTCATGTCTTCTAACAGCTAGCTAATGCTTTGTATCTTGAGGATGCTGCTTAAAATAGGTGGCTGATATCTACCAATTTTGCCTACCTTGGTTATCAGGACCTTGTCTTTAGGAGAATTCATTTTAGTATTCTATGACAGTGAAAGATAGGGCAGCTGATACCCCCTTTCTACCTCTCCATTTTTAAATTTAAAAAGCTAGAAGGTGAAAAAGTCCTCAGTGAGATTTATCTGCTGAATAAATTTACTCTCAGCTTTATGTAGGACATTAAAAGTGAGAAAGCAGCAGAGTTTGAAAGTCTGCAGGATATTTTTATTTGTGACTTCTGGACTCAAGAGCATTCATTTAAAAAAAAAAAAAGATATTTTGAATACTGTTCTCAAAGTACTCACTCTGTTTTAACAATATCTGCCTCTTTAAGGGAACTGGGTGCTTTTACCTCGGTAGAAATCCTACATAATGTGGATTAGAACAACAAGAGCTACACAATAAATGTTTTGAACATTGACTCATTTTCAGTTCTGATGAGTCATCTGTTCATAAACCACTTTTTGTTTTTAAAAAAATTAATAGGATTTCAGTGTGTATAAACCTGTCCCTGAAGATTAAATCTTACATAGTTTGATTACAGAAAGAATTATTCTGTTTGTCAAGTTTTGATTCTTCCTGATTTTTTTTTTTTTTTTTTTTCATGGTCTGAAATAAAAAGCTGTAGGGACAATATCATGATAAAATGTCACAGATGAAATTTGCCTGAATGTCTTAATGAATTTGTGTTTGTTAAATGTGCTCTTTTTCTCCTTGTTGATAGAATGCAGCAACATTTGAAGATATTGAGAAACCAGCATCAACTTACCAGAAGACCAAGCCAGTAGAAGCTGGTAAGGCACTGGCCCCAAGCCCCTTCTTTGGAGGTGATAATGTCCCAAAGCCCAGGATATTGCTGGGGATGTAGTAGTGCTGAATCAGAATCATCTAGAGGGAACTGCTGTATTTGCAGGTCTGCAGCAACCTCAACTACCTCTCTCTTCCCATTAGAGGTTGTTTTGATTTGTTAGTTTGTGGTTGTTTTTTGTTTTGTTTTCCATTTTCCTTGAGGGTCATCAGGGTTGAGGAAGGGAGAATAAAAAACATCAAAGTAAAGAACAGACTGAGCAGGGGGTGGAGTGGTGGAGACTCTACCATGAGAGAGGAGGGAGAAGCATTGAAGAGAGAAATGAGGTGCCCAAGAGGCTTGGGCTTGGAAGGAGAGAGGGAGAAAGAGGGATTGAAAAATTTCCTGAATGGGCTGTGATCTGAGAGGGCAGAAAAGCAGAAACATCTTCCACATGTTCCCTAGCAGAAATTCCTACCAAAACCTCATTCCAGGCTACCTTTATACAGAACCTTAAACAACATTTGACTTTGATTTTTTTTTTATGTGATCCAGTTGCTAATAAAACAAAAAGCATCCGAGCTAACTTTGAGAACCTAGCCAAGGAAAAAGAGCAGGAGGACCGAAGGAAGGCAGAAGCTGAGAGAGCACAAAGAATGGCCAGAGAGAAGCAGGAACAGGAGGAGGCCCGAAGGAAACTGGAGGTCAGTGAGATTCAAATCCCATTTGAGCAGCACATTGAGTGTCTCAGTGCAGTGCTGGGAGAAGAATCTTTCAAGGAAAGATGCTTTCCTTCCTCCAGCTAGGTTTTAAAGCTCTTTGTGTGTCTGTAGCTGTGCTTTACCTGTTTGGGACTGCAGCCTTCCATCAACATGCACCATATGTATATCAGACATCAGATAGGGTCATATATACTTCATACTTTAGAACCTTTTTGATTTAGCCTATCCCAAAATACATGTGCTACTCTTGAGCACTAATCTTTGCAGTCTGACCTTTTCCTGCTCTTCTTCTGCCTTTTGGTAACAGAGTCCCTTGGACATGGAGGAGCTCATAAGGAGAGAGACATGTGGTCCCTGCAAGGCCCTGTGTGAAAGCTGGTGATGCTGGGTTTTTTGGAATCAGCACTGTGGAAGATGGGAGTGGTGTCACCCATTGATAAAGGAAACACCCATGAGATGAGGGGAAATAATCTTCCAAATGTTACTGGAATCTTAGTGTAAGGATGAAGCAAATTAGTTCATCATTGGCATGATAAAAAAGCTTCATGATTTGTGTTATACATAAGCAAAATAATTCCAGGAAGCATTTAGCCAGAGATGACATCTATTCTGTAGAATTTGCATATTTGATGAACCTTTGCTGCTGAGAGGGAAGGACTAGGGTGTTAATAGTTATTTTATGGCCTCAGGCTCAAACTCTGATCCTGTGGCAGGGAGCAGGAAGCCATTGATGCTGGTGTGAGAATAGTCTCTATCTTCTCCTTTTCCTTCACTTCTTCTTTTACTTGAATTAGTTTATACTGGAGAAGACTAATCAGAGGACACAGCAAGATCTTCTAAATTCTGAATACATGCTGCTTAGCCACACGTGTGCACTGAGCCTTAGCAGCCAACCAGTGTGCAGCTCTGATGCTGAAATACCATGCTCCAGTTAATGCTCATAGCAGGTCCTGATGAGAAGGATATAGCACTCAAGGAGACTCACAGGAAAAACAGTCATCCTCATCAGCTTCATCATTTCCACTTGCTGTGCTGAAGAGAGTCTCCCAGAGGAAAATGCCTGTCAGGGACCCTTACCACTGTTCTTCTGGCTGCCTGTGGGGGAGCTTTCCTATTTCCTTCTTCCTTCTCTCTTTCTCCTCCTTTGGTTTTACTTACCACCAAAAGTATCTTTAATTGTTAGAGCCAATGTATGCCACCAGCTGCAGACCCCACTAATAAATCTTCTTGCATATGAACTTGTCTCAACATCCTCTGGGAGCCATCTGGAATCCAGGAAGGAACATCAGATGGTTTCTCAGATCCCTTCAGTCCTTTGCCTGGCAGTAAATGGGGCAGACCCAATGTCTGGTTTCTCAGATGTGGTAGATATTTCTTCTTAGTGTGGTGATGCTGCTGCAGGATGTTGGGGTGTGGTGTTCACCCCATTCCATCACAAACTTAGACTAGTATGAAATCTAAATGTGTGGTAGGCTTCCAGTAACCCAGCTCTGATCTTCCTAAACTGAGAAAATTGACTGCAGTGAAACTGCTCATTGCTCACATTTAACAGAGCCAGCCCAAACCAGCGTGGCTGCTAACAGCAGCACTCTTGAGCCACCTTACTCCCTGTTCCAAAAAAAGACCTGTATAGTCAGGCAAAGTGGAAAATGAACCCTAACAAATAAAACATGTAGTTAACCCAAATCAGTTCCCTGCCTGGTTCATTGGCTGGCTTCTCAGCTCTGCTGGTCCCTGTGTGCAGACCAGTGGTGCCCCTGGGGCAGCTCTGGAGTCCTGCTGTGCTGAAACTGTATCTTGTGTGTAATCTGACTTCTGAAAACAGCTCACTTCCCTTTGAGTTCTGTTTGAAATGTGGGAAATTCTGGCTTTATAGGATTCCATCTAAAGTGATGGCTGCTTTTTTTCCTTTTTCTTTCAATTTATCACTTTTGCCTTCTGGCTTCAAGATGTACAGCGTATGTTCTCTGCATCCATGTATCAAGAGATGAGTTCATCTTTGTGTATCAGTGCTGCCTTTCACCCCTTTGTGGGCTTTTAATACCTTGCCCCAGCCACCATTTGGGTTTCTTTACTGTCCTGGAGAAAAAAATGTTACATCTTTAACACAGCATCTGCCACTCTCTTAAAGCTGGGAAGGGAAGAGATAAAAGAGCTGAAGTTGAGAATTCCATCTTTTCTGTTTGATAAGGTCAGTGAGCCTCCTCACAGCAGTGAGGCTGAGATGCATCCAGTCTGTGCAGTTGCTCTGGGAGCTGTTCAGCTGAGAAGAGTGGAATGCCTCAGCACATGCTCCCTCAGCCACAGCAAGGTGCTCTTGCCCTGTGGCACCACCTTCTTCTGCTGTAGCTGTTCAGCTCCTCTGCTCCTGAGCTGCTGGCCACTGTTCCCACCATGTTTCAATGTCTTTAAGCTAATGCATCACCAGTATCTAGGTCTAGCACCTGGCTGTTTCCCTAACAAAGTGTGTTTTCACTCCTCATCCTCCCTTGTCCTTGCCACCAGCACTGCAACTCTAGTCAGAGCTGTAGTCCCTCAGCTCTGAGGGGAGCATCTGTTCCATGGGAGGGCAGAGAATGGGAACAAATACTCTTTGAGACTGGAGATGACCTTGAGGTGTACACTGCTCTTGAAAAAGTGCAGCTTCACTCCTTCTTCAGGACATCTCCCTTTTCTTGGCTCTTCTTTTCCTCTGTCGGCACAGTGGATCTGGGTAACGTCAGGACTTCCAGCATTGTTATCTCTGCAGGATCTCATTTAATAGATGCCTTTACAGTTCTCCAAATGAGGAAGAACTGATATAGGTTGATGGATATCACAAGTGTTGCATTGTTAATAAACCTGTTCTGTACCCAGGAGATCACTTTGGACAGACCTTGCTTCCAGTTACTGCTGAGAACTGCTAAGAGGTGTCAGTCCCAAAGGAAAATGGACTTCTCAGCATTTATCCTGCTCTTTCAGTTTTTTCTCTGAGGTACATACTTTCAGTTGGCAGGAACTCCATCATCACTGCTTCTGCTTTGTTCTCAGACAAGGTTATCTGGTGGTTTTAGGACTTCTCAGCCTATCTGCAGCTTAAGTCATCTTCAGGATGCTGATGGTACTTACTAGGCAGCTTTACTCAACCAGGGACTGCTACTTCTTTACCTTGATTTGTTGTTTCTGGGATTCTGTAACACAGTGCAGTCCATCCTTGTGTTTTCTGGGAGGTTACCCAGGTGAGACAGGGAGTGTGGCTGACTGGCTCTCCAGTAGACTGTTCCTCTTCCAACCCAGTTGGAGCCATGTTTTAACCAGTGGGGAGGAGATAACTGGTCCTGTGTATCTTGCCCAAGTACTCAGGCTTTCTGTTCAGTATTCCCTTCCATTGCCTGGGGTTGTAGTCTGGGCTGAGGGGAGGGAAGAAGATCAGCTTCTCCATCAGATCTCTTGCAGTTCATTTGGGGTGGTCATATGCTCAGAAGTGAGACATGTGGATGGAAAGGGGTGAGTTTGGGCTTTCATTACCCATTCCAGCTTTTCATTGAGGTTTCCTCCTGCTGAGAGAACAGTTCTCCAAAAGGGTTTGAATGTAGTAACCCAGGTTCTCCTGAGTCATTCCACTGTTATATCTTTTTAATTTTTTCCGCCTTACTGTCTCAAAAGTGACTTTTTTTGTTTTTTTACTGTTATTTTTGCTGTCAGTGTGGGTTAAATCCAAGCCGTTATGCTGGATTTTTCTTGTGCTTCATCAAGGATTCTGTTGCCTGGACACATTGAAAGTTTTTTCCAAAGCTGGTATTTAAATTTCACCATAACCAGACGATTAATGTTCTTCCAGAGCGAACATCTCCATGGTTAATTGTGTGATTCTGCAGACACACAGGGAGGAGAATGAGGCTAAGGGGACACTGAAATGGCACTGACTGTACTGCCCTATGCCCAGCAGCTGGGCGTGAAAAGGAGAAGGATGGAAGCCACACTATCCACAGACATTGTAAAGGGACAGATGGACTTTGACTTAAGTGAACTTCATTTCTTCAAGTGAACTTCCTTGTGCAGACAAAGTTCTCTCACTTTAAGAAAGTACGTGGGCATAGGTACTCCCACAATGGGAATGTACATATGGACTCCATTCCTTCAGAACCCTGCTTGCTGGTAATCCTGCTTCTGTTTTGCTTTGCACATATGTCACATAGTCAAATGGTGTTCAGGGAGCTCTTCTTTAACTGATGGTTTGAATTGATGGCTGCCTCACGGTTTAGGTGCCCTCTGCTATCCTAGAGAAGGAGGCAAGACCCTCTTGCACACAGTGTGGAAGAACCCAGCCTGAGGGGGGGCCTTGCAAAGTCAATGTTCCGGGCAAATTATGCCTTGGCTCCCCTAAACTGTAACCTGGAGTGCAGAGACCCACTGCCTAGGCCCAGTTATTCAGACTGTTGCCACGTCTGACATTGCTAATGGAGCAATACCACTTAATTTGTCCCCAGATGTAGATTTGACTTCTTTGCTGGTGCTTTTTGATCTATAGCACAGGAGTTGAAAGTCAGGGAGGACTGTTTGCATCAGGACATTTTCCCAGTAAGCATAGCACTAAGCTTTGAACTCTCTTCAAAGCTGGCTCCATCCTCAAGACACACTTTGCTTTCTTTGTTAGATGTATTTTTTTTCAGAGCTGTGATAAAGGAAAGGAAGAATTTTTTTGTAACTGTATCCTTTCACTTCATCTCTGGACTACAGTTTCTCCTGAGAATCCTTTGAGGAGTTGTGGTTTGATGGACCTAAACAACTGAGTGCACAGTCTCCCGTAACACATATTCTCTCTTCTTTTTTATAATGGAGAAGAAAGTTTGGCCCTAGACCCACAGTTTTCTTATCACCTGCAGCAAAGAGACACAAAATGAAATAGCTGGCTTACAGTCTGTTGGGTTTTTAAGTTGCGCAAGCAACGCAGCGTTTCTTCCATGACAGTGCCCTGGCTTCCTGATGAATGGCTTCTGAATGCTGAGTGTGGATTTGCCCTCTGATTCACAGGTGGGATGGCACAGTGGGAACTGATGGGGTGCCAGAACACTTCAGGTCTTTCTGTTGCAGAACACAGTAGCAGCACTGCTTTTATTTCTGCCACATAGATCTCTTGTGAACCTTTGAATTCCCTCATTGTCACTAGATAGGACTTAATTTTACCCAAGCTGTTCAGTCTTTTGCCTTGGCACGTGTTTTGCAGACCTGCAAGAGCTTTCAGGATCATTTCTCATCAAAGATAATGTATCAGTTGTATAATTAGAACATGGAGGCTTCAGTTTCTCTAAACTTATGCTAAAATGGGAGATGAGGCCCAGCTAATGAGCAGAATGAATATCTTGAACACAGAAACCCTGCAGCTCCTATGGAAACGTGCCAAAGAACACTGGGTACTCTGTTTCTAAATACATGTATGGATCCATACTGTGCAGTTTTTTTCTTCACTTTTTTCTCTTCTATTCTGCTGTATTTCTGAGGCTTCACAGTACAGCCAGCCTGAACCTTCAGGCGAGTCTAATGATCCAGCCAGGCCAGTCCTCTTCAGCTCACAGCAGTTCACTGCAGAAGATGCTGTCTCTCTTTCTTCCTGGAGGGCTGTTTCTTGTTGCCTATCATGACATCAGTGATTAAGCTGCACTGAAGTTTTTCTTTCTCTTCCATTTAGGAACAAGCTAAAGCCAAAAAGCAAACTCCACCATCCTCTCCTACCACGCAGCCAACTGAGCAGAAGGCGCCCGTGAGCCCGGTCTACGAGGTCTGTTAGAAACCCTTTCAGTACCTGGGGCTTGACCCTCGGTGCAGGAGCCTTTTCCCAGAGCCCTGACAAACCTCACCCTGTGTTCTGCAGGATGCAGTTTCCTATGAAGCAGAGTCTGCCTACAAGAACTCCAGCACCACGTATTCGGCTGGGCGCGAGCCAGAGCCTGGCTACAAAGCTGCAGAGTTGGACTACCAGGAAGCAGTGAGTCAGCGAGAGGCAGAATATGAGCCAGAGACTGTCTATGAAGTGGCTGGGGCAGGAGACCATTACCAAGCAGGTAGAATGTTTGTTTCTGATATGAAACCCTTAAAGATAAAGATGATTTCCTGGGGCAGCAGCTTAATGAATGGTTGTGCTGAGCGCACGCTGCCCTAGTTTGCTAAAGTCTTGGTCTGGTGAGAGTTCTCCACCAACAAACTTTAATTAGGAAATTAAGATGTGGCTAGAGCAAGGTTGAAATTAGTTAACTTTGGTGGGATGAAGTTGGAATAATGACAGTGCTCTCGAGGGTATCAGTACAAAAAGAAACATAGGGGTAACCATTTCCAGCTCATATAATGCAGCTCAACTTGAGAAGGCAGCACAGAGGTGGAGATTGGGTGTGTGCAGAGCCCCTGCTGGCCTACCACAAAAACTTCTGTCAACAGTTCTTGGACTTTGAAACGGATGTGATGTGTTCTGTGCCTGTGAGGGGCTGGAGTGAGGATGGGTGAGACGAATGGGATGGAAAAAACAAGGTGCTTTTGTTTCTCACCTCTTCTGGTTATTAAATGAGGTGTGAGGAATGAACCTGCTCGCTCTGGTCTGAAACCCTGGGAGTTGTAAGCAGCCCCGTCCTCCTCCCCAACACAGACACTTCACTTGGATCAAATAGTCTCTTACACAGTGACCTTGAGCTCAGTTGTTGTTCAGTCTCATTTTACAAAAGTGTTCCAAGGCTGATTTCTGTTTTATGCCATATTGAATGCCTGCTTGTGGACGCTGCCTTTCAGGCCTTAGCTGTCAACAGTGTCAGGAAAAAAATCCATTTCAGAAGGAACATCAGCACAGCTAAAAACTTGCATAGTTTGTTCCCTGATTCCTCTGCAGGTTAACAGAAAATCAAAGGGGAGCACCACAGAAAAAAACTTGGGGTGATAGGTAATGTGCTTCGTGCTTATGATTTTTCTCCCACCTCTCTCTCTTTAGAAGAAAATACTTACGATGAATATGAAAATGAACTTGGAATTACAGCCATAGCCCTTTATGATTATCAAGCTGGTAAGCAAAGCTTTTGATTCATACCTTGTCTTGGAAAACTGTTCTGCACAGATAAGTCTGGAGTTTGCCTTTTGTTGTGTAGCCTCTTGCAGTAAGATGAAGTGAAGGCAGGAAGAGTTAGTAAGTTAGTGGTTTAGCAAAGGCACCACGAGCCATTATTTCTGGAAATAGTGGAAGTTTTCAAACCCTGTTTTAACCCAGTGTGAACGCTCTTGTTCAACCCTGGCACACATAGTTGTTTAAAACCTTGACTGGTTAATCTGAGGAGAGATCAAGAAAGTGAAGTGGTTCTTAGTGTGTCGCCCTAAGTTCGGAAGGCGCCCAGAACGCAGTAGGGAGGAAGCAGCCCCCTCTTCCCTGCAGAGGAGGGGAGTGTCACTCTGGAGATGACCTCTCTTTCCCACGCCCTGGCTGCTCCTGGGTGAACTGTGAGCTTCTTCCCCTCTCTCCCCAGCGGGTGACGACGAGATTTCCTTTGACCCTGACGACATCATCACGAACATCGAGATGATCGACGACGGCTGGTGGAGGGGGGTCTGCAAAGGCCGCTACGGGCTCTTCCCTGCCAACTACGTGGAGCTCAGACAGTAGAGACTGCTGCCTACTGCTTATGCCTTAATTCCCCAGTCCATAACTCTGACTTCATACACTACAGATCACGATGCTTTTCTGAGGATGGAGGGGTGTCTACATATGGCTTTTATATTTAATACTTTGCTGATGCTTTTTAAAACGTTTATGCCACAGAAATCGCTAATATATTGTAACGACTTTGTTCTTCACTGAGGCTCTGAATTATTTTCATGCATTGGGAGACATTTCTTCTCTGCCAAATTAGCAATGGTCAGAAAAAAGCCTTTTTGGAGGACGATTAGCTGTCTGTTGTAATATTGCATGTTTTACTCACAAGTGAGCGGATTTACTTAGTGTTTAAGTCTAGATAGTCTTCCACTAAATGTTTTCAGCTAAGAAAATCATGGCTCTGCAGGTTATTTGCATTTCCACTAAGCAGGAGTGGGGAGGACTGGGGAGGTGCATAATTTTTTTTTTTTTTTTTTTTTTCCAGATAGTGCTTGAAAAAGCAAAGAGAATGCTTGAAAGGTGCAGCTTATGGCAGCTCATCAAATACTGTCCCAATATTTATGGAATATTAGTGATATGAAGGAAACAGTCTGGTTACTTTTTCCTTCTCTTAAAGTGAGGTTCCTTGGCTCTTGCATTGATCTATTTTCTTTTTTAGTAGTGTTATTATTTTTTCCTGATCCTGTTCCTCCCGTCCATGTTATCCCACAGGAGGGCTGCAACCACTCTAGCACTGATTGTCTCAGATTTCTTTCCTTTGTGGTTTTGTTTCACCCTCCTCTTTCCCAGGAAAACTAGGAAAAGTTACTATACAAGCATTGAGTCACTCAGCAAGATTCCTCCTTGTTCAAAGGGAAACCTGCATCCAAATATCTGTGACTACCTGCAGGAATAGTCTCCTTGCTTTAAAGGGGAGGAAGAAAAAAGGCAGGATGGGATTGCTGTTGTGTTCCACATGCAATACATCCTTTGTTGGTACAAGGCACGGCCTGATGAGCACGAGGACATTTCATGTCAGCCTAGTTGAGTCAAGGAATGTTAATGCAAGTAATTAGGTTTAAAACCCATATAAATGATGCCCATTTTTACACCATACAAGCGCTGACTGTATTTTTTTGTACGTTCAGCAGAAACTGCCAGTAACGTTCTACTGAGTAACAAAACTAAACCTGTTCTTTGCCAAAAGAAACTGAAATTCTTGTTGTTTTAGAGAGCTGACTTCACTGCAGATTTAGGGTCCCTACCAAAGATAGCAAGTTGCATCTAATAGTGCACACGTTCAATGTATGTCCTGTCTGATTTCCACCTTCTGATCAAACTGGGAATGGCAGAACTGGTGCAGCAGCTAAGACAGACTGCAAAGAGTTTTTATAAACTGTAAATTTGGACCAACAGAGTATAGAAGACCTGTATAAAATGGTAAAATGTATCATGGATCTAGGAAGAAGGCATCATGTTGAACCAATTCTTGGGTGGCTGGGACAATCCTTAATGAACGTCATGTATCTGTCATGATGATGATTTTTTTTCCTTTCCATGGTCTCATTTCTGTGTTGTATTTGCATTACTAGGGTTGGGTTTTATATGCAGTTTATTTTATCCAATTTTGCATAGAACACCTCATAGGGATATGATTTTTGTAAATTAAATATTCAATAAACTTTTTGAACCATTTGCATGGAATATTCTTGTATTTTTAAATTGCTTTGTTGGTCTGGGACCACCTTGCCTACAAGGAATCACACCTCCTTTGGAGAGCTACTGGTGGTTTTGGTGAGATTTGCTCCTGGCTTTTGGGAATACTGATGGCTGCAGAATGCTGAGTGCTCTGGAAAACATGCCCAGGTTTGCACAGGTTACAGTCACACAAAATTTTACACCATTTTAAAGCTGTTCTGCCCTTGCTCATGATGCAAATCCTTAGGTGAGTTGCTTCCCAAGCTTTGCTCCAGCTGCAGAAGGGTGTCCTGCCTTGCTGCCTAAGCCAGCCCAGGGCTGACAGTTCCTAATCCTGAACTTTTCTGGGAATTGATACTTGATGATGCACTGCTGGAAATGCTCAGAAATCCTACCACCCTTTTCCTAATTATTATTTAATGCTACTGTATTAACAGGAAATCCAAAGCTTCAGAGCTCACTGCAGTGAGTCCTAAAATGCATTGAGAGCCATGGCTTCAGTGGATAACTTAAAACCCCTAGGACCTGAGGAGAAACCCAGCCCTTCAGGTAGGCTTCCTGTGCTCCAGGGTGGGGTTACTAACACTTTACAAAAGGCAGATTGGAGAGGGCTGCTGTCAGAGCAGCTGAAAGGCAACCAGGCCCTGAGGAGGTTGCCACAACTCCCTGCCTGGCAAGATTCTGGCAGGGAGGGAAAAGCACAAAGGGAAAGAAGAAATGACACCGTGTGTGAACTCCTTGTGAGTCATAAACTTCAGGAACAGCAGCCTGGGGGAAATCCTGCAGCCCTGTGCCCAACGTCTGGGTCAGAGTAAGGTGGGGAGGAACTGAGTTACTGGAAGAACAAATCTTCCTGTAACAAAAATAGTTACAGGAAGAACAAATCCACTATCAGCAATGTTGGGAGTATTAAATCCTGGGAGTTTATTCATGGATTGCCTCACCTAATGGAGGAAGTTTCATCTCTAAACTGCTAATGTCACTAGCACGGTGTGGCAAGATGCTCTGCACTAGAATGATTTAACATCAAGTGTATTTAGGTAGCAGTGTTATGACTGTACTATTGCTACTGTGACATCAGATGTTGTCAAGGCCTGAAGTTTTAAGATCCTTATTCATCAGCAGTAACTGCTCAAGTTATCTGAAAAGCTGCTGGAAAGAACCACCCCCCAAACTCAGCCTTCACCACCAGAAGGGCTGGCTCAGCCCCCCTCACGGGTGACTGATGGGAGCTGTGAGCAGGCCCATTAATTTCGGTTAATGGATGTCTTGCTGATTCACTCCCTGACTTTGGGTGAGCCATTTACTTTCCTGGCACCTTGAATTCATCATGTTGCTTCTTAATGCAACCCTGTTGTTGCTTCAGAGCTTGCTGGGGCTTCAGCTGACAGAAGGCAGCAGCAGCAGCAGCACTGATTTTATTCACTGCCTAATCAATTGATGATTTTACACTGCTGAGTGTCATTCTTCTAAATTAATTCTAATTAAGCACATACTAAGAACACTCAAAGTGGTTTCTACATAAATATTTTATAGTATTTTATAATATTTCATTTGCTGATTTCTGTGGTGATGACTAGCAACAATGCTGAGAGGAAGGCATGGTGTGAAAAGCAGTTCTGGAAGAGATGGAGGAATTCTCAGTGACTGTCCTGTGCTGCCACACTGGTGTGGCAGAAGCTGCAGCTGCATTAAATTCCCCACTGCAGGGCACTGGTGGCTGTTGGGAGGGCAGATAGAAAGTTTCATAGCATACAAAGTGGTGGTACTTTCCTACACCTGTACTTTGTGCCTGAGCATCTTCTCACGTTAATTGTAGGTAGCTAATTACCTTCTTTTTACTCACTGAATAAACTGTCTGAATGAGGTCTGCTTTTCCTGCCAGCTTGGCAGCAGCTTGGCTCTCGTGGAGAAAGAGCTCTTGGCTGATGCCACCTTGCCACCCAGGCTCTCTCTGAGGATGATGGAGTTGCCCTGCCCAGGGAGCAGGTCCCTCAGGGGCAGGCTGGGTAAGGGGAGTGATGAAGAGCCTCTCTGAGCACAGGGGGTTCTGAGCACCCCCGAGCTATGTGGAGAGCCTGGCAGAGCTTTACCAATGCATTTCTCAGATGCATTTTATCAAACCTCTCCTTAAGCTGCTGCTTTATTTTTAGGCTGCACAGATGGCAGCCTTAAGTGGATGGTGAAGAATGTGCCTGCATCCCATTTCTTTTATATAAAGCCTTGAAGCTGTGGAGTGTTTTGCTAGGTTTTTGTGTGTGATGGGCCATTACCAACTTGTTAATTTTGACTACATTTTCAATAGCAAGAATCAACCTTACCAGCTTTTTTACTTTTAACCAAGGAAGGAGGGCAGGAGGCAGGGGAAATGACAAAGTGAAGCACGAGGAAGTTCTGAGGAGGTGGTTTGGCTTAGATAAAATGCATACCAGTAAAAATTTCATCTTCCCCATTGTCTGCACGTCCTCTGCAGTTTTTTTTTCTGAACCTGGAAGGTCAACTGTCAGAATCATTGCAGCATATTCCAGGTTTTTAAGTCCCTTTTCTATGTAGTAAGTGCTTGTTGCCAGGGATCTTTATCTGAAACACCTGCTTTAGAGGAGTGCTTTTGCAAATACAGACTTAGAGCCACCTCTGATTTTCTGAGATACTTCAACCTATAATAGAAGCTTTCAAAGTGCAACCTACAGAGGTTTAATACCCATCCAGCAGGTTGATTCCTTGTGGTGTGAAGTTCAAGTGATGCTGCCATTTCATGTAGTAAGTACTCACCTTGCTGCAGGATTTCTGCTTTACACAGGGGTGTGGAACCCTCCAGATTCAGCTGCTGTAACATAGGCACGTTGTTACATGATCCATATCTAAGTATCCATAGGATGCTAATGATATGGGGCTAAAATTTGAAAACTAAATTTGAAGGAGCTTCCTCAAATTTTCCTCATGCTGAGCACACTGCTTCCCCCCATGATTTACAGATGCTGCTCTAAAGTTAGTTGGTAAAATAGAAATTGATATATTAGTCCATGGAAAGAGGAGAAGAACAGAAAAAAAAATCAATTTTGACTGCACAACGCTGAGCGTACAGAGTACTGCTTTGGAGGGCTTCCAAAAAGGGAATTTGAATTGATCAGAATAGCTTTACTTGACATATTTGTCCCAGAATCTGGAAAGCTTGGACAGAAAAGGGGCAATGCATCTTTGCCTGCCTGCAAAGTGCCTCACACACAAGAGAACCTTAAAAAGAGCTGCACGATGGGCTAGTCGTTTGCCACAAAACTAGAGTTTAATGGCCATTTGGAGTCAAGCAAGCTTAATTTAACAATTACTGTTATTTAAGTAGCCAAAAAAGAAAAAAAAAAAAAAGAGGTGTTTCAGCCATTTCCATTATCTAAGGCCACTGAAAATGTGCTTACTGCTCAGCTCAAAGCCCAGGGGATGGCTACACCCATCGTGACTGAGCAAACTTCCAGAAGAATTCCCACCCTAGGAAAACATCATCCTCAGAACTGGGCTCACATAGCCTCCCAGGTCAGCATTTTTGGTGTGGAATTCCAGATTTTGGGTTCTAGATGTTTTAGGTAGTACAGTGTGCTACAGAAATACAAGCAGCTTATGCTTTGGTAGCATCAGTGATTAGGGACCAGGCCAGGAAGGAGTCACACACAGGAGCCAGCACCCACCCTGTGCCCACATCACTCCTCTGGGTGGAAAAAAATTTTCAAGTTGCATTTTTTGGTCAATTAGTGCTCAAAATCTTACGCTCCCAGGATGACA